CGTTCGCGAACAAAAAAAAAGGTTTTATAATTTTATATATTATATATAGTATATACATATATAATATAATATATAAATATGAATATATATTAAATATTAAATAAAATAACTTGTATGAAATTAAAATAAAAAAGTTAAAAAAACACGAACACGAACATGTCGAACAATTCGAACAGTTCACCAACAAGTCCGACTAGATAAATGAACGAATACAAACATGTCGAACCAATAAACGAACGAACACGAACGAAATTTTTTGTTCGTTTACTAAACGAACGAACACGAACATGTTCGAAAATTAGTCGAACTCGAGCTCGATCACCTTAAGCTTGTTCGGTTCGATTCAATAACAGCCCTAGAAACAACTTTACGTTCCTGTCATACTTTTGTGATACAATTATATTATAAAATATTAATTTTTTTTATACGTCTTTTGGAAGTATAACAATTAGTATGAATATTTGTTAAAACTTAAAAAAAAAAACTATAACTATTAAATCTGGTAGCTGTCATGAAATGTCTCGACTCGGACATTTTCGGGATGCCGCTAATAACCAACGAATGGCAAGTGCCAAAAATGCCATTCTATGAAACGAACATATTTTTTTGAATTAAAAAAAAAAATATCTAGTACTTAGGTCTGTCTAACAATAATAGTCTTTGCTATTTTTATAAATATGCTTATATGAAAATGTGACATTTTACAAATAGTATTTACTATTTTCATAAATATGAACACTTTTATCATAAAATGTGATACGTTTAAATAATATTTAATATTGTATTTACATATATTTATTTTATATAACTCAACCATCGATTTATTTGGACCCATACAAATTTTTTGGCTACCATTATTTAATTCGTTTTGATTTAATAATTAACTAACAATTATTTTTTTAATTCAGTTGCCTATATATATACTACACTTGCCCGGCGTTTATTGCATCTCCACTGCAAAAGCAATTTCTACACTGCTCCCAATAGAAAAACTCAGCCGCCCCTTTTCTCCTCCTTCCGGCGCCGGCCGATCAGTCTATTCGCAATCGAATAACAATAAAATGGGAGTTCCGCACCGATCGTCAAAAGGCGCCGCCGTGGACCCTCGCGCCGAGCCCCAATTGCCGCCGCTTAAGGCGTCGGACGCCCTCCCCCTCACCAACGCCGTCTTCTTCACCCTCTTCTTCTCCGCCGTGTACTACCTCCTCCTCCGGTGGCGCGAGAAGATTCGCAGCTCCACCCCTCTCCACGTCGTCACTCTCTCCGAGATCACCGCCGTCCTCACCCTCGCGGCCTCATTCGTCCACCTCCTAGGGTTCTTTGGCGTCGGCTTCGTCAGGTCCCTCGTCATCCCCCGCGCTTCCCACGAAGATCTCCTCGACGATGAAGACGACGAGATAGCCAGCGATTGCGAGGGTCCGATGCTCAAGGAGGACGCCCGCGCCGCCGCCCCCAAACCCGACGTCTCCGGTAAGACCGTCTATCATCAGTCTATCTCGTCGGACGATGAGGAAATTGTGAAGTCAGTGGTGGAGGGTAGAACCCCGTCGTACTCCCTCGAGACAAAGCTGGGCGACTGCCGCCGTGCAGCAGCCATCCGCCGTGAGGCCCTGCAGCGCACCACCGGAAAATCCCTCTCCGGGCTGCCGCTCGAGGGTTTCGACTACGAGGCCATACTTGGCCAGTGCTGTGAGATGCCGGTGGGCTACGTGCAGATCCCAGTTGGCATAGCGGGCCCTCTGTTACTGGACGGCCGGGAATACTCTGTTCCCATGGCCACCACGGAAGGCTGCCTGGTGGCCAGCACCAACCGTGGCTGCAAGGCCATCTATGCCTCCGGTGGAGCCACCAGCTGCATTCTAAGAGACGCGATGACAAGGGCCCCCGTTGTGAGGTTTGGCTCGGCCAAACGGGCTGCCGAGCTCAAATTCTTCTTGGAGAATCCTCTCAATTTCGAATCCCTCTCGCTCATTTTCAACAGCTCCAGCCGGTTTGGGAGACTCCATAGCATCAAATGCGCCTTGGCCGGAAAGAATCTGTATATAAGATTCTCCTGCAGCACTGGAGATGCCATGGGGATGAATATGGTCTCGAAAGGCGTGCAGAACGTGATTGAATTTCTCAACAACGAGTTCCCCGACATGGACGTTATCGGCATCTCCGGTGAATTTCTCAATCTGATTTCTCTTTGTTCCGACTTCGATTTCAATAATTTTAGTTTACCAATGTTTTTTTATGTCTCGATGCAATCTGAGCAGGGAATTACTGCTCGGACAAGAAACCGGCAGCCGTGAACTGGATCGAGGGGCGGGGAAAATCGGTTGTGTGTGAGGCAGTTATAAAGGAAGAGATTGTGAAGAAGGTGCTCAAGACAAATGTAGCTGCCTTGGTTGAGCTCAACATGCTCAAGAATCTGACTGGTTCGGCCATGGCCGGAGCTTTGGGTGGCTTCAATGCCCACGCCAGCAATATTGTGTCGGCTATTTACATAGCCACCGGTCAAGACCCGGCTCAGAATGTCGAGAGCTCCCACTGCATCACCATGATGGAAGCCGTTAATGGCGGCAAGGATCTTCATGTGTCTGTCACAATGCCTTCGATTGAGGTAAATTAGTAGTGAATACTAGCTCTTTCTTCTTTTTTGGTGTGTTCTATTACATATTAGTTCTTGCCTTTTTAGGTGTTAAGGCTATGTTTGGTAGACCTAGTTGATAAGCTAGTTGAGATAAGATCGAGCTTTTTAAAAAAGCTCGTCCTACCAAACCAAACTTATTTGAATACAAGAAACTTATAAGCTAATCAAATAAGCTATAAGCTGGCTTATATGCTTTCCAAACACAACTTAATTTTTACTTTCTTTAAGTGTTGGCATTGTGTAATGATTTGGATATCTATGTTCAGGTTGGTACGGTTGGAGGTGGGACCCAGCTAGCTTCGCAATCGGCATGTCTGAACCTGCTTGGGGTAAAGGGAGCTAGTAAGGAGGTTCCCGGGTCGAACGCCAGGCGATTGGCCACCATTGTTGCCGGTTCGGTTCTTGCAGGTGAGCTCTCTCTCATGTCGGCTCTTGCTGCTGGGCAGCTTGTTCGGAGTCATATGAAGTACAATAGGTCTAATAAGAATATATGCAGTGTTTAATGTGTAAGGTTAGAAAACTCATATTCTTGGAAAGAATAAGGCTGATAATGTAAATGAACCCAATGTTGGGTTAGTTAGGGGAGATAACATCTTCTACTGAACTATAGGAAGAACACAAGAATACCTGCCATTTTTTTCTTATCAGTTATTCTTTTGGTCGATTTTGCTTATATTATGCAGTTCCTATTTTGTAAGAAATGCAAAAGCTTGTAACTGAATGAATATTGTTTAATGTCTCATAAGGATATACTTTCACAATGTTTTTCTGGTTCTGACTGGTAGTAATGATTCTTGCACCACACGAAGTTTTCTGGTTCTAACTGGGATTGTTGATGCTTACTGAATAATCTATTTCTTATGTAACTTGCACGACTTTTTCTGGGTCTAACTGGAATCGTTGATGCTCGTTCATGTCGATTGGATATCCATTTATTACTAGTTGAAAAAAAAAAAAAAAAAAAAANNNAAAAAAACACAACGAAAAAAACCATTTAAAAATCAATCCTTTAGCTTTAAGAACTGCCATTAAGTCCTCAAAACTTTTTCTATATGGTTTGGTTTGTCTTCTAAAGCTGGTCCAAGTTGTGGACATGGCTTGAGTTACAGGTAAGTCAAGTGGACAAAAATACCCTTACATATTGAGAAGAAGTTCCATACTTTTGTAGTTATGTTTCAAGATGAACCTGGGAAAACTGACAAAGAGACTTCTTAACTCTATGTAGAATGCTGTTATTTCAGTGCAGAAATAAAATAGTCAAATTAACTTTCAGTGTTCATCAACCATACCTTATGAGCTGATGCAATGTAGGGATATTGTGTTACCATATCGAACATCAACGATGCAAATCGATTACTATATAATTTAACTTATGAGCATATACATTTGGATATTGGTCCTTACAGGTCGACTCATCATACTTTTCGAACAAATGTATATATACACATTTGAAGAAAATTTGTAAACAAAAATAAAAAATAAAAAAAATAGAGAATATACCATAGTTTTTAAACCCGGCCCGGTAATCGACCCGGGCAGGTCTTCGGGTCACCGGGTCACCGGTTCAACCGCCGAGTCATCGGGTCAATTGCTGAACCGGATAATTAATTTTAAAATTTATAAAATTATATATAGAGTATATTGTGATATATAAATATACATAAAAATAACAAATTTAAATATTTTGTATGTAAAATTTGTAGATTAAAGTGGTAATAATATGTATATATTTATTATATAAATATATATACATAATTTTATTTTTTAAAAAGAAAAAGAAAATTTAAAAACAAAAAAAAAAATAAAAAAATACATATAGACCGGGTCAACCGGGTTGACCCAGCCGGGTCATTGTCCCGGGTCGACCGGGTCAAGGCCGGGTCGACCGGGTTTTGACCGGGTTTGACCGGGTCCGTTGTTGCCCGGTCTAATTAACCCACCCGAATCGGTTCCGGCTCCGGGTCGACCGGGTCCCGAGTCGACCCGCCGGGCCGGGCCACAAAACACTGGAATATACAAAAGCTGTCCCATGATCGAGGAGAAAAATTCAAAATTTACATTCCTTTCAAAGTCAGATGAAAATGGAAAATTCAACGTCCGGAAAGTTGTCACATAACAGAGAACAAAGTGGGACCCACCAGCGGCCAGCCTGGTTTTGCAACCACGAAATTGGCCGCATAAAACAGGCTGTAATGTGTACTCGTGAGCAATAACATTTTCCCCACCTTCTCCACCCCAATTTTCTCCTCCGGCGCATTTCCCGATCAGGAAAACAAAAAATCCGTTTAACTTCAGATCTCAGTGATTTTCTGAAGGGAGAGATCGATAGATACGTCCGATCATGAGCACGGTTTTCCAGGCGATTGGCGACAGGAGGCAGTCGCTCCCGGTCTCCCACGGCCGGTCAGGCGACGGCGGCGGCGCCGGGAT